CACACACACACACACACACACACACACACACACACAAAGGGGGTCCGAAATCCCCCGACAGGTGAGTGCGCTGGGGGGGCCCGGCCCCCAACCGGGTGCCCTGCCCGGCCAGGCCGCCCGGGACCTCCCCCGGGCCCGTGCCGGTCACCCGGGCGGCCCGGATCCCCACTCAGCTTTTCAGTGCAAAAGAACAGGCAGGCAGTTCTTTTTTTTTTTGCTGAAACAGAAATGGACGGAACATCAATGCAGTCAGTCTCTTGTCTCTTTTCGCTTGCTTTACTGCCCAGACTCTTCAGACAGAGGTCCTTCCATCCCCTTGTCAGGATGTACCCCGTGTGTGATGTGCGGGCTAAGTACCAATGGAAGAGCCCTGTGCGCTGGAGCGAAGTGTGCGAGAGAATTGCCGCGTCCGTCCGATGTGTCCATGTGGTGTGGGTGGTGTTGGACACTACAGCCTTGCAGGGGTGGGCTGGATATCACGACTGGTATGGTTCCACTTTGACACCGTGTCCTGGCGGTAGTGGTTGAGATACTTGGCTCCGGAGGCCGGGGTCGCCGGTTCAAATCCGCGCCTCCACAGAGGAGGACTTCGGACTGTATTCACGGACCTGTGACCCACATTATGACAGTGCCACTCTGTGCTTCTATTTTTTTTTTGTTTTTTTTTTTGGCATCTTCAGCTTGGCTGCAATGTCAAGCAGCGATTCGTTTCTTGTCGACCGCCGTTCGTCCATTACATGCCATTTAGGTAGGATGGTCGTATTGCAGCGATGCATTACACCCCTTTCCAGGGGTGCTACGTTCGTGCGAAGTTAGCATGCACCTGGCCAGTGCTGTGACCAGATTCTCTCTTTCCTCTCATAGTTCCAGGGGTGGCCAGCATGTCCCCTTCTGCATGCTTTTTTTTCCTCTCTCTTTCTTCTTTGTTTTCTTTTTCCAAAGAAAATGGCTGAGATTTCGCACGCTGTAGATAGGGAAAGTGGGGAATTGCTTAGTCCATTCATGCTCGTGTACAGCATAGGAAGTAGAGTATGTGAATCCCAGGAGAACCAAGACGAGCTTACGCAGTGGATATTTCTCTGCACGCAAAGCTTGAATCTGGTCACCTTACTGGTCAGGTGCATGCTAACTTAGGACAAACATATCACCATATGGCCATGGTCCTAAGTCTGGCATAATTATGCAGTGATTCCAGGAGAACCAAGACCAGGTTACACAGTCGATATATCTCTGCCCACAAAGCTTGAATCTGGTCACACCACTGGTCAGGTGCATGCTAACTTATCACAGATGTAGCACCATTTGGCCGTGGGCATAAGTCTGGCAGAATTGTGCTGTGATCCCAGGAGAACCAATACCAGGTTACAAAGTCGATATATCTCTCTGCCTGCAACGCTTGAATCTGGTCACAACACTGGTCAGGTGCATCCTAACTTAGGACAAACATAGCAACACTGGGGGATGGACCTAAGTATGGCGGAAACATGCTGTGATTCCAGGAGAACCAAGACCAGTCTCCACAGTTTGTAAAGCTGTGCTCGAAAAGCTTGAATGTGGTCACAGCACTGGTCAGGGGCATGCTAACTCAGCACAGACGTAGCACCACAGGAGCATGGGGCTAAATCTGGCAGCCATGGTGTGCAGCACCTGTGCTCGAAATGACGAGAAAAGGAGCATGCATCCACTCCGCCGTTGAGGTGTCTCTTCAAGTCCACGAACAGCAACAGTATTTGCTGTTCCATCTCTATCTCGAGATGGGATTTGGCTGTACGCTGGGGCCAAGTCCCACCAGCGGCGCTGAATTTCCTCAATGCATAAATGTGGGCCCGTCTTTTTTGAAGATGTGCAGAAAATCACGTGCGGGTTTCCTCAACCGCACCTCTCTAAAAGCGTGTCCAGATTCAGTCGTTGAGGAAACTCAACGCTGCTAGTGGGACTTGGCTGTAACCCGGAGAGAGCTGATTTTTTTTTATTTTTTTTTTTAACCTTTCCCTTGGGTAATGCTAGGAGTGCTGATAGGAGCAGGCACCTCTAGCATACCCAGGGCGGGCTCCATCTATTGGTGGGGGCAACACCTGCTGGACACCGGGACACCGGGTCCAGCGTCCCTTCAATGATCATTCAAAACAGGACATTGTAAGATAAAGGTGGAAACCTGCCTCTTCAGCCCGATTGAGCCGCCAGATATACCTATCTTTCTAGCAGATCTACCCATAACCACCAGTGAAGGCATGGAGTGAAAATGCTAATTACCAACCCAATTATAAATTACTCCTCCCCCTTGCCATACCAATCCATATCCACTAAAGCTAGGTCTGAGGGGAAAAAGGGATCAGGGAATAAATCTGGAGATCTCAATGAAGCTCCTGGGAGGATCTTGAGCCACTCGTGAAAGAAAATGTGATAGTCTCTTTTAAAGGAGACCTCATCCTCTTCCTCTCCTGACCAAACCATCTCTCCCAGTCTCTCCTCTGAACTTTCCCCCATCCCGTCGAGCCTGAATTTCTGTAATTTTATTTTTATATCCCACTTTTGTTGTAATTTTTGTAGATCCTGTTTTAATTTGCTCCATTGGGCATGAATTTCTGCTTGAATGAATTGTTGAATAAGGTCCGAAATTTCTTCCCCTTCCAGTCTTACAGTTTCCATAACATGTACAGAATGCCGATACCATAGTGCCCACAATACCGCCTTTCTACCTATACCACTAGTACCTTTGCCGGTTCGAAAATACTCGGCCTTCGAACTTTCAGGAGGCCGAAACGAAACGACGGCCGCCGATCAGATTGATAAACGTCGGGCTTGGCCACCTGAAAGTTCGGGAGCTGGCAAGTACTTGTCGAAACCGTACGCCAAAGGTACTAGTGCTTTAAATAGATTTTGCTGAAAAATTGATAAATTGACTGTAACCACGCACGGATTTCTGTTTGAATGAATTGT